TCCCCCCCCCCCCCAAATGTTCTAATGTTTCTCCCATCCCTAAATAATATTAATAATTTTTAAAAAGGCTAAATCAAAGGATGGAGAAAAAACAGTCCTAATTTTTCCTCCCTGAGAAATCTAGTTACTGCAGTACTTGAATTAATAGCATTCACAAAAATGGAAATGAAACATGGAAGAAGATGATATGTCATTCTGCTCTGCACAGACGAAAACAAAAGCACCCTGCCAAAACAAGCCAAAGTATTGTTGGTAATGGTGCATATTTTTGGCTGGCCAAAGTCGGTGTTTTTATACTATACAACACTAGTAACTCCTGATTGCTCACTCTGGGCAAAGCAGCAGTTTTCCAGGGGAAGCTGCCAAGCGGAGATAACTCTCAGTGCCGGAGCACACATTTGAGGAAGGAAAGGGTACCAGAGATAACACCACTGGAAATACCAAGAGCTTATACTTCAGGTAGAAAAAGTGGTTTTTCATTCACATCCATCCACAGCTTGACTCTACATCAAGGGCTGCAGGAGCCTACCTGCGTGAGACACACCACAACTCCAGGGTGGGAGAAGAGCCAGGGATGTACTCAACCCTGTTCTAGTAGCCTGGAGGCACCAAAGCAAGGATGTACAGCAGTGTGGAGCTGTGCCAGGTCTCCCAGTCTGGATGAGATAAGGATCATGTCTAGATGTGCACCCACAGGCCAGTTTTTACTTTAGCAGATTGGGGTTTTTTTTTTTGAACACAGGAATAAATGCAGAGAGCGTCACTATCTGGTGATATAATTCTTAAAGTGATGGGCCACCTTGGCGCATTGAAGGCTGCCCTCTGTGCATTTATCTTTCTTTAATAAACAAAATAATTATCAGTTAAAACAAATCTAGCCGTGCAAAATCTGGTTGCAAGAAAAGTTCTGTCTGAACAGGAGAAGAATGCTGAACACTCTTTTACCACGGCTTTGATGATGCACACTTAGACTATTTCCAACAAATCTATTCCTATGACTCAATTTGCTATTGAATTTGCAAGCATGTAATATTAAAATAAGGTTTTGCTTTGAGGAAGAACTCAAAGAATCTAATGATGAAAACTGTCATTATCTGGGAAATAAGAGAATTCATGATAGATGATAGATAATTACAAATGGTAAATGGAGTACTTTCCAGAGGTTTTTTTCATGACAGAAGCAGCACCGAGGGGCCTGCAGTTCAGCGTTAATAAATATTTTCCTGAAAAAGAGTATTATATATTTTCATACACTAGTCAAACTCCTTTCAGTGGCTTCCTTCTTTCTAGATTTTTATCTCTTAGAAACAAGTAATTTCAAAAGATGGGATGTTAGGAAATATTTATCAGATCTTTGCTACTCTTTCATAAAGTCTTTTGTTTAAATGTTTTAACCATGCATTTCACTTGTGTTTGACCATAACAGGGCAATCAAATCATCTTTCTGTTTATCACAGAGCATCAGTGAGCTCACTGATGAAGTTGCTTCATGTACCAGTGTTAAAAAGAATAAGAGAATAAGAGAATTGTCATTGAATTCTTACCAAAGCAAGAATTGACAAAGCCATACCACCTACAACCATGCTTTCCTCCAATCCATTTTCCATGGATGTTGGATGCAAAACTGAGGGTAGTGCCCGAGATGCATACTAACATGTCACTGATACTAATGTTCAGGAGGAGCATGTTGACTGGGTTACGGAGAGTTTTAAACTTGCAGAAGAGGATGAGGACAATCAAGTTATTCATGAAACCAAAAAAAAAAATAAATCCAAGAAAAACCGCCACTACTGTGTGCCCATATCGTGAGAGTCCAGCCCTTGGCTCAACAGTATCTGTAGGTGCACCAAAGCTCACATTGTATGTCCAAGTGTGGTTCATTCTGGACTTTGACACAGATCGGTGAGGGCAGAGATGCCAGGTGCCTTGCACTGAAGTCCTCCCACAGTTTTCCAGAAGCATCCCTCCATCGCAGGTCAAATCATCTCAGAAGCCTTGTGATCTTCACTCAGCTGAGACACCTCTTAGATGGTTATTCAGGTCTGAAATACTGTATTCCAGCACAGGAATATTTCCCTGCACCGTGCCTTTCCAGTAGTCAGCTCTGCAGCTAACTTTGGGGCAGCAAAACCAAGCAAACAATCACCTCAAATTCATCTTTGTTATTTAAAACCAGGAATATGTCAGATGATCTTTTTTGAGGCTCAGAATGGAAGGTACCTTAAAAAGGTGCTTCAGCATGGCTTCTTCCTCCAGAGCAAAAGGGCAGCTACCATTGTTTCCTCTAACAATGGGTGTCTTTCTGAAAATACAGAACAAATCGTAAAAACAAAACAACTCTTTCCATAACAAGACCAAAAAGGAGGTACACATAATTACAAACAGTTCTTCCCTTTCTGAACTGTAACAAGTATTTATCAGTCTTTTCAGTTTTTTCTCTGATTTTCAACAAAAAAAAAAAAAAAAAAAAAAAAAAAAAAAAAACCCAGTTTGTTGACATTTCCTTGACTGTTCTAAACAGTTTTTCCCTACCTTACAGTTTATCATGGAGGTTATTTACACCTTCCTAGCAAGTTCCTCAGGTGAGAAAATGCATGGTAAGACTTATCTTTTGCATCAGCTTTCTAGAGGAAGAGCTGTATCTTCCTCCACATGAAGTCAATTCACACCAAGTGAAGCTTCAGTCCTGACTAGACCTTAACTAAAATGAAAATTTTAGAAGGAGAAAGTATCTCTTTAGCCAGAAAGAATAATTTCAGGCACAGTCCCTAAAGCTCTCATGTGCTTACAAAGGTTGGCAGAGCTGCAGTATCAATTTCACTTCTCCCACATTCACCAGTGAACAGAAGTTTTCCTTCATTATTTATAAAGCAGACAAACACTGAAAGATTCACATCGCTATCCCACGACAAACATGAATTTATATACCTGCATGCAGTAAATACACTCTGTGTTTATGTTGTGAAGTAGCAGCAGAGTGCTTAATGTAGATGTGTAACTGCTTAGCCAGCCTTCTGCATGGTTGGAGGCAAATTCTACACAGACATGTCTATAAAAATGGAGATGGATATATATATATAATGTGTATATATATATATATATATGTAGAAATTTCCACTCCTCAGTGCAAAATGCATGATACTTCTAGCTCGCTTACCTAAAAAATATGAAAACTTTTGTTTCATGAGTCATGTGCTCCTAGAATGATTACACACATTTTAAAATGGAGCATCTTCTATATTACTCCTAACCACTGCTTTTTGGAAATTATCTTGTAGAAGATGTGTTAACCAATTGAAAAATGAGAGTTCAGAGTTTACTGAAGATGCACAGCTTGTTTGTTTGGTTTTTTATTTTTTTCTTTTATCATATCTTTGTGTCATGGTGAATGCTTATAGCAAGTATTTCTTCTTACTATTTCCCTATTTTCACAAACCCACTGTGCTAAATATGTCTCATTATTGCAGTGATTTTGGACTCTAATGTGTACAGCCTGTATTTACTTTCTCTTCTGATGAGTAAATTATGTACACTTTGCTGACCTTCTACTGTTTGGTCATTGACAATCTGAAAAACTGATGCTTTCTGCTTTTTTCCCTCCATTTAGGAGGTACGTGGTAATTTAGATTGGTAAAGGTCTCAGGTATCTAAGAAAAAGAACATTTGAAATCCTCTTTTTACCATTTGGAACAAAAATTATCCCCTGTCCAATTTTGGTTGCAGTTTATGTAAGGAAACTAACTGGGACTAACAGTCAATATATTTTAAATTTACTCATAGTTCTGTTTAAAAGAACGGATTTTAAGTTCAGTGAAACAAAACACAAAATAACAAATGAATAAAAAAAATGTGGTGCTGAGCGCTTCTCAGTCACTAATTGTGTAAATGAAAAGGTAAATAGTTGCACTTTTTTTTGGTAGGAAAAAAGCATGGTAGTGTTGTGCTGAAGGAGACCTTCAACCGGAAGAATTCACAGGAAAACAAGACATACAGTGAAATAAACTCAGTAAGTAATCTTTTGTAGATTATTTTTAATAATTCTGCTTACACCCTAGATTCTACCAAACTAATTTATTCTTTTTCCATCTCTTCGAAGACAGTTTTGTCTAATCTTTTCACATGTGTCTGTTGATTGAGGAATGCAACTAAGGTCAGTTCTATCTGTTCCACCCTTCTGCAAAAGCAAATTGCAGAATCCGGCTTCAAAATCTTAAGAGACTTAAGTCTGATTTACATGCAAATTAATTTCAGTTACAGATGCAAATTTTTTTTTCCAAGCTGAACCAGTTACACCTAGATAATTGTAGCACAGATTATAGTATGCAATCATAAATGTTTCTATGTGGGTATTAACTTCACCAGAATAATCACAGACAGAAGGTCTGAATAATATTATCATTAAAGCATCACAACTGTGGTGTTAGACAAAGCCAAAGTTTGTAATCCCCTTAGAAAATATTACTAACTTAATATACATATCTCTATTAAGCTCAAAATATAAATAATAAAATGTATATATTTTATACACAGTCACATACATCCAGCATTCTTAAAGATATACTAAGAGTTCACACTTATAAAAGGATATATACTCCCTGAATGGGATTCAGCTGACTAAAAAGCAGTCCAACACTAGGTGTGCAGGCACAGGCCAGTGACCAGGTTGTTTTTCCACAGGCCACAACCCACCCAACTTCAGTGGGATGAGATCTGCCGTGGTGCACTGGGCAAGGATGCCCCAGTGCCCAGGCAAGATGAGCAGGCCCTGGCAATTCAGTGTAAGATAAGTTTTTAAAAGTTAGTTCAAGCCATGCAGCCACTTGAAATCAAAAGATGACAAAAGGATGAATGAAGATATGCTTTGAAATTTTGGGGTGAATTTAAGAGCCAGGGGTCTGCAGAGGAAAATATCTGAAATTCTGGGCTGTGGGAATAAGTCTCTTATTAGTAGCTCATGTATAAAGTGCTAATTTTTTTACACCTTTGGATGAAGTAGAAGCCAAATTCAGATTTCAATAAAGCTTCTAAACTCCCATACATATCCATTGAAAAATTAGTCTAATTCTTACCTAAAGTTAGCATTTAACTGAATAATACACATTATTGCTGAAAAACACCTGAAGATGGGCTTGTGTGCTCGAAGGTTCACTTGATTTTTTTTTTTCTCCAGACAGACAGTTTGATCTAGCAAATGTTACTTTGCAGTTCTGACAACCCTGTCTTACAGGTGACACTCTGTGCTCCCCAGGTCTCCATGATCTAGCAAGACATCCTTGAACACTCTTAATTTCTAGCAAACTCAGGAGCTTGCAGGACTGAACTCCATCTAATTCTTCCTCTTCTGTTTCTCAAAAAAATGTGAAAAAACAAAACCACAATAAAACCTACAACTGCATTCAATACAAATAAATAAGCATCCAGTTCATCTCCTCGAATTTGTTTGAGTTGACATGGAATGGAAAACATACACAAAATGATACAAAACATTTGGCCAGGTGAAACAAGCTAAAAGTTCATTTAATGTCACCAGTTATTAAATGCTTCATCTGTTAACTGGTTCTGACAGTAGTAATCTAAAGATACAGGAAACCAGACACCTATCACTGCTTGCATTTTTCTCTGATGCAGTCTGTTGGAAAAAAAGGTTTCAAAAGATGTTATATCAGATTCTGGGGACATGGGCGTTAATACTGAGAGCGTAAGGCTTCTCTTTGCACTTGCTACCACACATTAGTTTGAGCAGCATCATACACCAGTGGAGTTGTTTTTCTTTCTCACTTTCCCTCAAAATAAGTACTAACTTATTGAACGTATTAGCTTTAAGGGTTTAGGATTGGCTTGTTTTTTTTCCTTAAATAATTCTTTATTTCTAATTGGCAGACTCTTTACAGTCTTCCCTTGCAAAGTTGTGCAACATGCTAAAGCTGATGCTTAATTCACTTTATATACTTAACAGCTGATAAAATGACATAAAATAAATAAGATCAAACTTCAAAATAATTTTGCTAAAAAATTTGCGTTACTCTTACATTATATTTATTCTCTTGTGATACAGAGAAGCTATAAAAATATATATTATATATGCACACATCTCTAATCAGCCTGCTGTTGAGTTCATATGAAAATAAATTTTTAAATGGTCATTTTCCTTCATTTATGAATTTAGCTTTCTACCAAAAAGTTAAAATTTTAAATATTCATAAAAGTTCAAAGACATTCCCACCTGAAACTTTATGAGGGAGGAATCAAATTTTTACCTGATTCCAGAATTACAGCAAGAATATTTTTAAATTTTTATACACTAAACCTTGTTTTCCAGATGAGAAACTGAATTATTCTTAACAGCAACCAACCACAACCAGAGGTATCACCTAAAATAATTTTTTCAAACACAGTTGAAAGATGGGGACTGCCTGGGACTTTGCAACACCAGAGACAAAATTCTTGGACTACTTTTTCCATGCCCTAAGTCACACCATAAGATGACAAGACACCCAGAGGTAAGTCTTTGGAAGTAATTTAGAAGACTGGGCGGAGGCTCCAGATGTTTAGGTATCTCCCAGCTCCCAAAACAGTGGGAGAACCCCTTGCATGCAGACTTACAGACGTACCTATTGGAATTCACATTCATGAAAAAGACAAATATGAAAACAAGAACAGCATAAGCGCAGAATACATGCGATGAAGTCCACCACTGTTTGACACATTTGAAGCCATGCTATTTTCTCCAAGGAAAATTCTAAGAGTGTGGTAAAACAGCATGAGAAAACCCTGAACCAGTGCTTTATGAAAGAAAATGTACTTTTCTATCGTATTTTCAAAGTTAAGGCAATCCCTCCTGCGTGCGAAGAGAATTTTTTATACAGAAATGTCTGTGCTAACAGTGAAGGAGCCGGACCCCTTCGTCTCTCCAGAGCCTCAGCCAGGGTGTCTGCATCAGCGGGGAGCCAGCACCTCCTCGGCGCCCCGGCTCTCCCCAGTTGTGTAAACGCTGCATCAAGCCAAAGCCCCTTCGGCCAATCTCAGTTTATGATTTCGCCTTCGCAAACTTCTTTACACTTTTTTTTTTTTT